CACGCTGAACCACAGAGGCCCGCGCTTCCAACCTCGGGGCCTGTCGGCGCCAAGCGCTCGCGCCACTTAGCACGAGCGCGCCCGCGGAAGGGGAGGGGGGCCCCAGGGCGAGGAGGGTCGGGGGTCGCCCAGGAGCCACCAGCGCGAGAGACAATGCCTGGAGAAAAAAAAGAGCTGGCGGCGCTCGCGCACCCGAGGAGAAGCGCCGCCTTTTTTCCGGCGAGTCGGATGCCATCGCGGCGGCGTTGGACTACTCCTAGAGCGGCGCGGAGGCGCTTCCGCAGAAGGCGCCTGCCGTCTTCGGGTCGCCAAGCAGGGGCGGCCTCGGGAAACCCGGGGGGGGGGGGGGGGGCAAGCTTGCGCGCGTCATTTCGATGCTTCTCTGTTTCCTCAGCGGATCCTCGCGAGCGGCCCCCGCGCGATCGCGGCGGCGGCGGCGATGGAGGCGCGGGCGGGGTAGGGGTCGAGGACAGCTTACCTCGGAGGCGCGTTGGGCGGCTCGAAAATCGGCGGGCCGTCGCTGGATCTCAGCGCACTTAGGGCCAGGATAGAGGTCGTCGCCACCAGCGCCCATGAGTTCGTTCGGGCGCGCAAAGAACTCTTCTCGCGGCGACGATCCCCCCGCCCAGCCCGCGACGAGCGGCGGGAAAGTGGCTTCTGTGTTGCGCGTGGCGCTGCGAGATGTCTGTGCCCATCGACGCAATCTTGTCGGCGAGTTCGCCGCGCCTCGAGATGCCCCCGTGGGTTGCAACCCTCAAGTCAACGATGTCCTGCCTGTTCTGAATCGTCATCTGGCTCATAGAGATCAGACTGCCCGCGATGGTCTCAAGCCTCCCATCCGGTCTGTTTGGCGGCTGCAGCCATGGTCTCGTCGAGCGCCAGGGCCGCGGCTAGCGGGCCTTCTGCGAGGGGCAAGATCGGGATAGAAAACTGCGACCGCTGCCCCGCGGCGCTCAGGGCGGCGCGGGAATTTCACCGACGAGGGGCAAAGGGGAAGGAGATTCGGACCCCCCTGCCTGGAAAGAAAACAAATTGAATAATCGTCGCCCGCGTCCTGCCCGGCATCCCGAGCCCCGCCCCCAAGGCGAGCGGCGCTAGCGCGACCGAGAACGCGCGCCCAATCCTAAGGCGTTTAGCAGCAGACGCAACCGTTGGCGATCCACGTGCCATTATATGCGTCTCCATTGGCGACACAAGTGCGCGCGCTACAGGCAGACAACGGTCGAGCTCCACGGTGGACAACAATCGGCACTGCGAAAACAACATAACCACCTCCCAACAAAGTGCGGAAGAGGAGGACTGGCCTCAGCGACGCCCGCAATGAAAGCCGGATCATGCATCCATTCGCTGAGAAGACACGGCTGCATGCGCCCCTCTGGCCAGCGCGGATTGCAGGCAGATTAGAGGGGACATCAACATCAACGCCGCTGACGAGGAGAAGAAGGGCACGCCTTGCTGGCCAGACACCCCGAAGTTGGCCCATAGAGGGGCATATGGCATGGGTGACAGGTAAAACACTTCCAACGCAGTGATAGGAATGCGAAGCCCCCTGTAGCCGCTAGCCTCGCAACGCTGGAAGCCCGTGGGGACCTCCACAGGCTCTGTGAGATCGCTGGCCGCTGTTAATCGCGCGTGTTCCCGCTGCACATGCTCACCGCGCTCCTCGTGGGACCTCGTGCATGCGATCTCTTCCCAGCGCCTCTTTTCTACTGCTGCTCGGCGACAGACTGCGCTACCTCCTCCTTCGAGTACCCCCCACCGCCAGGCCCACGTCTCCTTTGCAACCTGTTCCAGTTCGACCAGACTCTTGGCCTTGACATGTATTTTCCGCACTCCATGAAAGCGTACTGCGTCACGACACTCCCAAATGCCGCCTCCAACAAATACTCTAACGTTCCTCGGGCCCCCCCCGTGCGGGTTTCGAACTGAACGCCGTACTGACGAAGTCCTGTGGGCGCGTCTCCGAATGGATCTTGCCGAAGATCCTCCGCGACCGCTCTCCTGGCGTTCTCCAGCCCGCCAGAGATGCCGAGGTTGCGCTCGCTGAAGCCCTCCGCGAGAGGGCTCGCGGTGATCACGCATTGCGACTGGACCCACATCGACTTCATGTTCGTGCCGTTGCGGCCCATCAGTGAACTCACGGCCGCGCGCGGCTCTGCCAGCCTGGTCAGCCTTTTGCCCCTCTTGTCCTTACCGGTCTGCTTGGTGCGTGCGTGTCTGCCCTACCCATCAAGGCGGGTTTGCAGTCCCTTGCCTGTGGGAAACTGCCAATCTAGAGGCGGATGCGTTCTTTCTGGTCGCGCGGTTGGGCCGCAGCATTTTGCAAACCAACGCCTGCTCAGCCTGCCCAGTCTCGGCGGTCTGCCAGTCCCGCGCGAAGGCCCCAGGCGGTCTCAGCCACCCCTGCTGCATCTGCTGCGCGGGCTCGAGCAGGCCGTGCTGGACGGGGTGGCAGATGGCAAAAAATGGGCGGTGGCGGCAGGGTGTCCTGCCACATGGTGTGCTCCAGGGGGGCGTCGACAGCGCGGCGACGGAGGAGACGCCCAGCTCGGTCAACTGCCCGTGCATGCCCGGAAGGGCGAGGGGAAACACATGTACTCGGGGGCGTCGGGCACCCACAGGAGCGGCAGCCCGCTCGGGACCGTGGACGAAAACGGCGGTGGCGAACCCACGCCCACGCGGGCGCCGGCCCGCCCCCGGGCCAAGCGGGCCCGCACATGGAAGAGCGCGTGTGGTGCCAGGAGACCCCGCGGCACATAGCCTGTGCTCGCAAAGGCCTGAAGGCCGCGGGGCTTGCGCGCGTGCCCCGCGGAGGGTTGCGTTCGGACGGCGGGTTCCGAAAGCAGGCCAGCCTTTGAAGCCAAATGGCAGCACGGTGTGTTGACAAGTGTTCTTGGGCCACGCATGGCAGAAATGGGTCCTGTTAGCACAAACGCACACACCACACGGGGAGGGGGGGCGGCCGTGCGCGCGCCTACGGCTCTGCTGACACAAACACACACGCACACACACCAAAAGGGGGGGGGGCCTGGCCGCGCATGCGCCTGCAGTCCTGTCAACACGAACGCACACAAACACACACACACACACGACACAGGGGGGGACCTGCCGTGCGCGCGCATGTGGTCCTGCTAGCACAAACGCACACACACACACACACATTTTCACGCATTACAGGGAAGGCGGACCGGGCTGTGCACGCGCCTGCGGCCCAGTTCGGACAACCACACACACAAACCACTGTGTGGGGTGACTCGCCACAAGTGCCATGGATACAGTGCGCGCGTGAGGGGATGAAGAAACAGCGGACACAATCAGAGCGCAGAGCGACCGCAATACCGCACAATCAAAGCGATCACTCGATTATTGATGCCTTTGATGGCATGTGACACGATGCCATCAGACTGAAACTCAACCGAACGTGACCAGCCAACTGCGGATCCAGGTAATGCGCAATCCCTGCATTGCGTCAGTCAATCAGCCGACCATGTCGTGTCACTTGAAATCCTTGGGACAAAATCCCTAGCCCAAACTGATTAATAAGAAACCTCTGGAGCCACACATTGCCTTGATTGCTGGACTGCTGGAAATTCTGTGCTACCGCAATTATGTATACGTGGCTGTCTGACGAAACGGCGAGGGTACACGATGGCAAATAGACTCTACTCTTCTTCCTGCTCGGCATTTGAGCTCTATGCATAGCAACCGCATAATCTCTACGGTGGTTGCTTGTTCATACTTCATACATTGGGACAGTGAAGCCTGTATGCGTGCCATTTGCCAACGAGCTGGTCTTTCGAGACGCACCTGCCGCATGCCACAATCCTCAGAATCCAGAGCGCATTCACGTGAAGACCCTGGTCGAACCAAACATGTTTGAACCACCCCATCTCTGTGTAGGGGCAATAAACGAAATCTCCAACGTATGCCTCACAGCAAAAACACTTCAGCGCACCATTGGTCACGAGTGTAGCAGGTTGCAAAGGCAGCAAGGTGAGAATGGAAGAATAATGGGGGAGGCAAGAAGGAGAGTGCTGAGGTGAATGGGCAAATGCATGGGGATGCCCTCCCCTGTGAGGCTCCCTTCATTCTTGCCCGTCGTTGCGGGGACTGGAATGATACACGCCGCGCACCTCTAAGAAAAAAGGCGATCGCAAAACAGTACATCACGTGTTTTGCGCCCTTGCTATTGAAGCATTATTCGTGCGGTTCAATGCCCCTTCCCCTTCTGTCTCCCCCAATCCCATTCACACTCGTTCTTCTCCTCCTCCCCCTTCCTTGCCTCAACCTCCCGCGTCCCCTTCTCTATCTGCTCGTCGTCGTCGCCCTCCACTTTCTCCTGCTTCGTCCTCCTCCCATCATCTGTGTGGCTCCCGAGGCCAAGCTGGCCCTCTGGATCAGTTTTGGTCCATCTGGCCCTCAGGAGCCAGTTCGAAGCTCTTGACTTCAGTCCCTGACACTGGAGTCTCCCTCAAACAATTGGGCGCGCAGATCTGGTCACCGCAAGGAGAAATTGCACATGCACATCTAATACAACACCACCGAATCTCCGCATGCCGATTGGAAGCAAGGCTGACTCCGATACCCGCGCCGTGAGCGATAACCCAGTGATAGTCTAGCGAATCAGTTGCATTCAACTGGATGTCTCCAGCTAGGCAAACCCCAACCAAGGTGTCGGGTGACCCCGCGTCGAGTGGACCCGAACGCAGGGGTAGGGTTCGCGATTGGCCGCAGACCCGACCCCCCCCCACATGCCGTCCCTCCTCTTGTGGCAACTCATGGGAGCCTTCCATGTCATCTTGCTGGCTCTTGCGCATCGACGCTCGTCGACGCTCATCGACGCTACATCGACGCTAAGTCGGCGCTTTCTTATCGACTACTAGGCACTAGCGCACGTTAGTGCACCCTAGATATGGAAACACGAAGGCACAGAACGCCCCCATCATTTGTTACCGAACCCTCCCTCGGCACTTCTGCACTCACACACTGTGGTGTCGGTTGCAGCCTCCAACTGCCACTCCGAGCTCGCCGGCCAGGAGCCGGGCGGGAGGCGGGCCACGGTCAACCGCCGCGACGTGCTGGCCACCAGGTACGCGCCCTCGCCAGGCAGGGCGAGGTCCTCCGCCTCCCCCTTCGCATGCTGCTGCAGCTGCTGATGCCCCTGATGCCTGCTCCCTGCTCTCCCCTGCCTCCATCCGCCTGTTTCCACGTCCATTTAAGATGCCAACTCCCTCCATCGTCGTCCAACTCCACCCTCGTCCTCTCTTCCTCCACTCCTGCCTGCCTCCCCCCACCCATGCCTCCTGTCATCACGCTCCCCGATACTCCTCCTCTTCCTCCTCCTCCTCCTCCTCCTGCTCTTCCTCCTCCTCCTCCTGCTCCTCCTGCTCCTCCTCCTCCGGATCTTGCTCCTCCTCCTCCTCCTCCTCCTCCTCCTCCTCTGCCTGCCTCCTCCTTCTCCTCCTCCTCCTCTTCCGATTATTCTTATTCTTCTTCTTCTTCTTATTATTATTATTAATTGTATTAGTATTGCTCGTATTATTATTGTTAGTCTTACTATTATCATTATTATTAATATTATTATCATTTTCCTATTCGTATCATTATGTTTCTTCTTCTTCTTATTATTACTCTTCGTGTTCATCCTCTTCTCCCTAGTGTTAGTAGTACTATTATGTTTCTTCTTCTTCGTATTATTAATATTGTTATTCTTATTGTTCCTTATTAATATTCGTTTTTCTACGTAGTATTACTAGTGGTATTCCCATTATGTGTTTCTTCCTCCTCCTCCTCCTTTGCCTCTGCCCCCACCTCCGTGAACACTTTGGCACAACTTGCAAGTTTCCTCTGCGGACCATAAGGATACGGGTATTCCGCGGCCAATTTCCATGTGTTTCGCCTGGGTCACCCCAGGCTGGAACCGAGTCTTCAGCAAGGCTCGGTCGGTGAGCTTTGTGGAGCGTGCTTCACCTGCAATCCAGATGGGCGGTGAGCTTTATGGAACATTTCGTGCAAGTAAACTTCATGGATGGATACACTAAGTGGATACACGTGGACTTGGAATAACAGCGAGTCGTGCCTCCAATGCAGCAGTTTCTCCCGAACTGCCACCGCCATGAAGGTCGACGCCTGCGCAGGGAGCTTGGGAGAAGAAGCTCCAGAGGTCGTTGGAGCAAGAGTCAGGGTGCCCGTCGTGGAGTGATCGGCCCAAACCTCGACGGACTCTCGCAACGGGCGCGGCGGCGAGACCGACGAGCGCAGCAACAAAACCACGGACAAGTCATTGGAAGAGTTGCTCCACGCTCTTCAGGCTGACGCGCACCACATTGCCCAGACCCTTGCCACCATCAAGTTGGACCCTCTCCCCGCGCCCATAAGGGTGGAGCCGCCACGCGGGGCGCGCGACAGGGCGGAGGCAGCGGAGTGGAGGGGCAAGTCCGCTCTGGAGAAGGCAGCAGGGAGTGAGCGGGAGGCACTTGCGTGGTGCAACGAAAACAAGAAGGTTATGGAAATAGGCGCCTATCAGCGCGCACTGGCTCAGGCCGACGCAGAGAATGCACTTCAATATTGCCGGCGTGCGCGGGGCGCGGCCGTCGCCGACAGGGGGGGCTCGCGCGCGCGCCCGTCCCTCCCGATCCCCTGCAGCATTCAATCCTGCGAGGCTGTTCGATGGCGAAAAGTTCGCACCCCAGGCAGGCGCGGACTCCTCGACGGGGGGGGAGTTTGACGAGCACAACTGGAAGGCGCTGGAGGATCTCCAAGCGAGGTTTGCGGCGGCGCTCCAGGGCAAGGTCGGGGAACTGTTCGGCGATGCGGCCAGCGGCCTCGGGCAGCTTCGCGAGGAGACAGCTGCCATGCGGAAGCGGCTCGGCTCCAAATGGCAGCGCGCGGCGGAGGAGCAGCCTGGCTCCCAAACCTGAGCTGCGAAGCCTACGCCCGAAGCAACAATCAAGCTACTCCAGCAAGCGCAGGCAGTCCGGGGCCCGCCCCAGAAGCGCCGGCGGAGCTGGGGCTGCCGCTGCAGCTGCGGACCTAGAAGCCGTTCCTACTAATGATCGGGCTGCGCGTGGCGCCCAGCTGCCCGAGGACGTTGCGCAGCGCCTCCTTCGCGCAGCGCGGGGCGAGACAGGTGCTCAACGGCAGCGCCTTTGACGGCTACTTTGGTTGCCAGCATGACGGTGCGATGGGGGGGGGGGCTACCCAGGAGAGCGCCACTCGGCTGCCCCGCGAAGTGCTGAAGGGTTGGCAGCCATCGACGCGGGCCCCTCTTCGGTTGAGAGCGGCCCCCCTTGCCTCGCGCATCGAAGTTCTGGGGCTCGAACGTCTCGGGCCTGGGCGAGCCAGACGTGGGCCTCAGCGTGGCCGCTCTGCGTCAACATGAGGCAGGCCTGATAGATTGTGTACCCCATCGGGTTCCCTGGCCTGGTCCGACTGGCACGTCGGCTTCGGCGTCGGGGGCGGCCGAGACGTGTGGGGGGGGGGGCCTGGTGAGCTCTTCCTCGGGCCCCCCTCCTCCCTGGTTTGAGTGGGGCCACCCGCGGGAGCTCGTCCTGGGCCAGGGGGAAGGGCGGCCGCGCCCGCCGCCCCGCCCAGAGCCCTCTGCCCTCGGGGCGCAGTCGGAAGGCGACGGCGGGCGGCTGCGAGGAGGCGTCGGCGGCCCAAGTCCAACAAGTTTAGGTTCGTCTTCGGGCCGTCGCACAGCCGACCGACAGAGGTCCGAGCGCAGCGAGGCACATGGCCGCTGGGGCCACCGACACCCCCAGAGCCCCATCCGCCCTCGGGGCGTCGGGAAAATGGGAAAAAGGGCGGCTGCAAGGAAGTGTCTGTCGGCGGCTCGTGTTCCCATGGTGCCCGTTCGTCTAGAAGCCGCCACAGCTCCGACACAAGCAGGGCACAGCGCGGCGAGCCAGACGTGCGTTGCGGTTTCGGCGGCTCCCAATTCGCCGTCAGGCGGGGGCAGCCTGAGATGCGCCTCTAGAGCCGCCGCCAGGCAGGCGCGGTCCTCGCGTGCATCCCGAGGGAAAAGAAAGCGCCACTCGTTCTCGGAACTCGCAAATCTTGGGCCCGCCCAGCTGTTGCCCGAAATGTCGGGGCATGCCGCCCCGCCTCGCTGGCGCCCGAAACGGCCGCGAAAAACAACAGCCAGGACCATCATCCGCAAGTTGTATTATGGAGCCCTGTATAGACCTCCGCGTGCAATTAGACTCCGTGGAGCGCAGGTCAGTATGGAAAGCCTCGGCCGGCGCGCAGTCCCGTGGCGCGCTCGAGCACTCTGGAGGTGATTCTATTCTCGCTGATGCGAAGATCGGTTCGGCACAGTGGTAGGTCCACAGCACGGACGCATCCCACCGCATCGCGGCACGGCAAATTCTCATTCGGTCCGAAGATAAGAGTCCTGTCGTCTCGGTGCATCAAGCCTCGGGAGAAGGCATCGGTGCGCAACGGAAAGCCAGGCGCTCCTCGGCTACCTGGCGGACATCGCGATGTCCTTCTTCATTGGTGTGGACTAGAGCACGCTGCCTCAAGACGCGATTGGTCATGGCTGGGCGGGCTCAGTCGGGCTGCAGGCGGCGGCCCCCCGGGGCCCCGCGCGAAAGGGCCCCGCGCTGGATTTTTGTTGCCATGGGTCAGTGCTTGACGGCACAGGTGAAGGCCTCTCAGTGCCCTTGCTCGGCCCTGCATCGCTCGAGATGCGATGGCCTGGCAACGAATGGCGCCCATGAGTTTTCCGCTGAAGGCCGCGCAGCAGGACCGGTAGAAGGGGCCCTCTTAGGTCGCCGCCCCGTGCGCCTGCAATCGAGCAGGGGCGGGGGGCGGGGGGGGGGGCGTCGGGCCCTGGCCGAGCGGCCGCCGAGTGGTTTGATGCATCGAAGAATGTTCTGCGCACGGCGCATGGCATTCCTGATTGGGAAGATTTGCAAACCGCATTCGGGATTCGGGTCGTGGCAGTCAGCGCAGGTTCAATCGGGCTTCCCTCGGGGCTTCGCGGGGCCGCAAGCTTCGGCTGTGCTCTCGCTCCGAAGGGCCCTCCCGCAGCAGCGGGCCCTGGACACATGCCGGCGCGTCAGCAGCGCAAGGCGCGAGCGCAGATGAGCGCGGCGGCCCGGCAACGCCGCCCCCCCATCCGCTGAGAAATGCGTCTCGAGCTCCAAGTAAGTGCGCTGGGGGCTCTTCGGGCCCCCTGCACTAAGACCCAAGTCCTCGCTGCGAGTTCGGATGCTGGCCAGGCTGAGATTTGCGCTAATGCCGAACAGCCTGGGGAGTCGCGGGCCGATTTCAGCAAGCTAGCCGCTTTCGAGGAAAGCAAGCGCGCCCACAGATTCAGCATGGGCCCTTCTGCACCTGCGGCGCCGATTCTGAAATTTAGGGGGGGTAGGTCGCCGCGCGCCTCTGGCTGAACATCGGGCCCTCGATCGCATCCGCGGCGGGTTGGGACAGACCCGGCACAAAGGAGCTCGGGCCGCAGAACTCCCCGCGAGGCCCTAGGCTGCGCGGCCGACCCCCCCCCCCGCAACAACAGGGCAGGCGCGGGGCGCCTGTCGGCATTTCGCGCTCAACGCAGCTCTGGGGCTGGGCGGCTTCTACCCCGGGCTCGTAGTCCAGCTCCACTTCAAATTCAGCAGGCGTTTTGCCGACGTCATGCGCGGGTGGGAATCGGACGGGCCTCGGCCACCGCCGATCGCTTCCGGGGAAAATCAACGGGGTGGGGGGCAGGCGCGTCTGCCCATTCCGCTCCGGGCCCGCGCGCGCTCCAAGATTCGGCACCTTGACTGCCGACGCGCAAGGCGCAAGCTCGTCTGCGCGCGAGTGCACGTGGATCCACATCGCGCTGAGCTCTTATGCTACGCTGAATGGCTCCTCTGCGGCCTCGGCGTTTCTGGGCCGCGGGGCGCATTGCGAACGCATTGGCAAAGGGGGTGTCTGGCGGCCCCTGGGGCCTGCGAGCCCCGCCCCGTCCGGCGCGCAGTCTGTGCCGCTGGCGCAGGGCGCGGCGCAGACCTGCATCCGAAGGCACCGCGAGCGCCCCGCGCTGGCCAACGGCAACGCGATCGCAGGGCGCTCGCGGGCGAAGTCAGCGCCTCGGGCAATGTCATTGCGCGTTTTCGTCCGAGAGTCGAG